TAAATATTACAGACTATTCATTGTAAAACACACTTTTGCATTTGCTCCTTTTACTTCATATAAATGTAATTACATTCGTTCAACTTTAATATCTACATAAATACACAGCGAACGTTTTTAGACCTGTCGGCGTAAAGATTGCAATAGTCGCAACATTCGACGCTGTTAGGATTCCTTTATATCAAATACCATTTTGCAGTCCTTTAAAATACAAACGAAGAAGAAACATTATCATTTCTTACACGTCTACAAACACTGTACTCACTTACTATATATACAATTATTTCATAAATTCATTGGAACTACCGACACACGAAGTTAACATTTCAAAATATTCTTAACATTTCTTAAACGAATACAGAGTTAACCATTGTTATACATTTTTTCCTTTGCATCATTGTGTTAACTTTCCATTTTGATGATAAAAGTATGTTGGACGATATATTATTTCCTTTAACAGTTGTTTACGAACAGTTTCATTATTCTGTCATTCCTTAATCAATAAAAAACTTTGTAGAATATCACTTAAAAATTATGCTCTTTGAGGAAAAAAATACATAGTCTTGTAACATACATTACATAAATTAAATAAGTCTTTAAAATTCCTCAATTATGCTGAATTGCTGCAATAGTATTATGCAAATTATCAATAGAACTCTTTATAGAGATTATGGATTACCTAGAATTTTGCGAAGGACACTTAATCGTTTACATCAAACATCACTTAATACATACATGTTATTACCTCAGTTCCTGTAATCAAATATCGAAATACATCAGTTAATCGAAATATTGAGGATAAAGAACTTATAAGATGATTCAAATTGAAACTTGTAAAGTGATCTGTTTCATTATCATTCACACTATGTATTTTACTAAACGCAAATCAAAGGTTAAAAAGTTCACTATCACCGATATCTTTCGTTAGATTTCACGTAGATACCATGAAAATAACAGTATTACATAAATCTATTAATTGAAATGTTGAACATTTTTTTAACTTGATGCCTCTTGCAACCTTCAACTGTTTAGTTCGTTTTAGTTTCGTTCGTTCAATCATCTCTTTCAACGTACAATTAGGGGAAATGTTATTTCCCAAGCTAATCGTACACGTGTGTATTAGAAACAAATATTAACAATCTTTCACAAATTTGCTCAAAAGTTTGTAATGCTACAATAATATATTTTGGCAGCTTTGCACTGTATTTGGAAGAAAACTGGCCCTCGCATAACTCGAAATTTCGTTCGTGAAGTTAACATTATTCATAACTGGACTGTGGATTTTGTACATATATAGCATATCAGATCGTTCTAACCTGAGTACAGTAACACGTTTCATCACATTCAATGAGGTTTTCTTTATATTTGAAACCAGATAAAAACCTTAATACGGCAAATAAATTTTTGTTAAATTCTAGTAAGTCTCAACCCGACTCGTGCATATTATATTTTGAAAAATTACATGCTCAAATAAAGAATGAAAATTGTATCTTTGATATTGAATAAAAATTATACCATAAAATTACATTGTACATTATTTATTAAAACCTTATTTTTCCGTATATAAAATTACGTAAATTTCGTTTTTAACATCAACATATAAAATTCTATATCTTTTATTTAAAGCAGTTACAATGTATGATTAACAGACTGCGGATGTTCATGCATTTATGGCACAAACAAGGCTATCGAATGTAGTAAAATAAAACTTTAACAAAAAATAATCAATTTTCCCTTATATTAATGATTTAATAAACTCTATTATTGCAGATATCACGTTTTCTATGACTCTGATTTTGGTAGAATAACTTATGAAAATGGATATTTACATGAACATCCACAGTTCAGTGATTAGTAATAACACTCCGACTATCAGAAATGTGTGAATGTTTAATATACATATGTATAGTGTCCACATATTATAGTGACCCCATCGATGGATCAAGTCGACGTAAACGTATTAACCGAGGAGTCTTGAACACAGATTGGGAATCACGATACTTTGTGCGTATCTTCTACCTTTATATTCAGTTACATTCTATTTCAGATATTAAGACTTTTTGCCAATGTGTGTATACAATACTTCAACGACTTATACACAAAGTTTATGAAAATGTACATAACAGTTTGACAGATGTCAACTAATGAGTATGAGATTAATGGATGTAGCCATATTGCGTCGAATGATGCAAATGAAAAACATACATACAAAATTTGACACTAAAAAACTTATTTAAATAAAAAATATTGTGCTGAAGTAATTCAAAGTAAATACAAAAATTTACGTTGTAACTATATAAAATTTCGAGTTTATTTTTTTTTTTATAAAATCATACTCACCAGTTAAAAAGACATGATTTCCGTAGTAATTTATTATTTAAATACCTTTAGACAATTTGGTAGTATATGTATAATATAGGTACAAAATTTAAAACTGACGTTTCATATTTTTCTTTTTATAAGTTATCAATTACCACATTTCCTCCTTAAACTCGAGTGACTTTCAAATGTTACAGGGATTAAACAAATTTCATTGCTATATTTTGATTTGTAAAGATCATTGTGAAAATAACTTTTCACTGAGAGAAAATAGGGTTTAAATCGCGGAAGAAAATATTTTACAACAATGCAACTTGGTTTTATGATGTACAACGCATGGTAGTAGTTCAGACTCGCCGTACGTATGTACTACTCTTTAACACTTTGACTGCCACATAACCCATAACTTTTCGTTCAGAATTGAAAATTAAATTTTATGGTAAAATATTATATACAAATTGCATTAAAGCCTATGAGATTCAAGAAGGTGAGAAGTATTACTATTATAATAAATGCACCGTCTATAAATTACCGGACATTTAGTTATTCTGAAGAAAATAGAAATTATCATAGATGTACAAGTTTAAAAAGCAATCTTTCAACTTCGTTTTCTTTTATTGCAAGCTGGTGATTCTGAACACATTTGCTAAAGACTTTCCAGAGCTGTCAAAGGAATGATATAATAATAATTAGCTGAAAATTAAGGAAGAATTTTGGAAAAAGATTACAAGCTGATTGGAGTAGAATTGGTTGGCAAATGTGTTCTAAATGCACAGTTGGACTAAATCGCATAATTCGACTGGTCATTTCTAAACAGAGAAAGTACCCTTATAAAAAAGTATTTACAATTACGCACGATACATTACACGATTTATATTCTTTAACCGGCTTACAGATGTAACAAGAATCTTTTTTTTTACATAATTTTATAAGCTCAATTTGTTGTTCGCCTACATTTACAGATACTAGTGTGTGATGACTAGAATGGGAATATTTTTATCCGTTTAAAACATCTCTTGATCTACGTGAGGTAATAGAATAAAGATTTTGTAAAATTTAGTACTAATTATGTACTACTTTAACATATTGAAATGCCTAGTAATAAAAATAAAATTCTGTCCAATGTCAATTTTTATGCATTAATATTTAAAATTGTAAACTTACATAAGTTTCCGTAGTCTACCGATTGCTTATGGACGGAGACGTAGTTTTATAAGTTCGCATTACATGAACAAAACTTCTTGGATATTGGAAGTCGTATAGGTGTTTATAGGTTTGTACATGTCACGGTTTAGTTATTCTCGAATACGAACACAATTGCAGGTTGATTGATCGTTTTTAAGTTTTAATTACAAAAAGTTGTTTACGGATGATGAGCTTGTTAGAAGAAAAATACATGTTCGCCCTCGCGACCTTAAATTAAATACTAGTAAATGATTTACGGAAAGAAATGACTGCGACGAATGATTAGAACTGATTAGAATAAAAAATATATTACACAACGACGCCACATATACTATTTTAGTAAGTGATGCGATGAAATTTCAATAGGACGTTCGTTTCTATTGTTTTCAATACGTCATCGATGTGACAGGGTAACTTTTTGCATGTAACCTTCGATCAACAGCTAGATCTTTGTTTAATTAAACGGCTCAATCCTCTTTTAATTGATTCTCGAGGCAGTTATAAAATTCGTTTTCAATTTTAATCAAATGGCTTTCATTTCTTTTTATCGTTTCATTCTGCTCAGTATTACAGAGATTATCATTGAATCTTTTAAAAACGAGAAATGTATTAGAATAGACTAGCCAAAAAAGTTCTTTAAAAGTATATGTGTATTTAACAGAGTTGGGCAACATGTAATCTAATTACAAAATCTAAATTCGATTACAATGTAATTGCAAGACACTTACAATTACAAGTAGAATGTAATTATACAATTATAATGTAACTGTAAAATTACAATGTAATTGTAATTGTAATTATCTTGCAATTACAATGTAATTGTGATTTAGATTTTGAAATTAGATTATATTTTGCCCAACACTGATATTTAACCATCTCTTGGCGAATACTCCGTCCATTTGTACCCATCTATACATAGTGTCAACCATATAACAGAATATATAATATGGAAATATATGCATTATACACTTTTGCAACCTTTTGTAATAAGGTATAATAAATTTTGTTTAGTTCTATAAATGATTCTATCATTTCAATATATTTAATATATCCTACTAAATCTCATTTTATTTTACTTCACTTTAATGCTTCTAAAGCAAAAGGTGTACAGTTACTTATAAATATATATATCCGCCGATCCCATGCGTTCATGTATTTAATTAATGTTCAAGTTCAAATTAACAACTATCATTTATATTCGTATAAACCCTGATCAATACACTTTATGATGCTTCAACTATAAAAATATATTATAAAAATATATATTATAGGGTGCTTTCAACTAATAAATTGTACAGAGTTTATTTGCATTCTAATCTAAAGTACGTTAACCATGTAGTACATATAATTAACATTCCTAACTTCAACATTAGTTAAATGTGTAAAATACGTTAGGCGTATGGGGTAGGCAGATATTTTCATGAGTAACGGTGTTCACAAAATCACATGAAAACGTAACGAGAAGATGCAAGCTCGTTAGATAAATATGATATTGTCATAATGGGTCCAAATAGACCCAATATCCGCCGTGCAGTCGCCTGTTAAATGATCCGTCTTTGAGATTTAAAATAAAAATTCCGTGTATATTCGACTTTTTGTTACAACTAGATTATGTACAATTTCTATTCCCTACAGGTTCTTAGACGAATAAAACTCTTTATACAAATAGTTACGGCGTCCAGCGGCTATCAATTAAAGAAAATGTACTCTTGCCTTAAGAATGTATACAACGATGTGATTTCAGCGACGTTCTCATCTCACGGGATGCACAGCTCTATTCTATGGTCAAAACTAGATCATCTCCCTCTAATCTCATTCCCTGAGAGACGTCGAGAGTCTTGATCTTCCCAGCCATTGGCGCTTGCACCACCATTTCCATCTTCATCGCCGATAAGACGACCAACGGCGCTCCTTTCTCAACAGTGTCACCAACTTTTACCCTAATTTCGATCACAGTACCAGGCATGGGTGCCCCGACTTGGCTTTTGTCTCCTTTGCTAGCTTTCGGGTGTACATGGATTTCCTGATGATAAAAATTATGAATTTTAAGTTGTTGAAACTCTGTTTCCAGAAAATTAATTTCTATTTACCATTTTACGAATTGGATGCGCAGTGTGGAATATTTAATAATCGAAGAAACTTAAGTACATATTAAGCAGAGATATAAATTTGTTTCAGAACTAGGGGATTTAGCTATCGTTTAATACTTATAATTAGTGTGTATATATGTATAGAGGTGAGCAAATTATTAGACTAAATATAATCTCTTTACATTGTGCCATTTTTTTTACAGAAATATACAAACAACTTAAAGATTAAAAATGGTCAGGAAATATGAAAGAAACCCGTACGATTGTTTTTTTTCTTCAAAGAGCTACTCTTTTGCAAATGTTAAGTGTTTGAGTATTGTTTTGTGCTTATACTGTAATGTCTCGATGAGTGCGACATACCCGGTTCCACTTCGAAGCATTCATGACAAGGCGGAAAGGTTTTAAGCCCCTCATAAGTTTATTTTCTGCCCGAAGCCGAGTCTCTGCTTAGCTTCTGTATAATTGTGTTTTGATTGGTTCCACAAGGGAAACCACCAGTGGTAGGAATAACGCCATTACTCGTGTCGCATTCATCGAGAACTCACTGTAGTATGTTACTGCTGTTTTAATAAGTTAATTAGAACTTCGATCAAAAGCATAGACAATTTTATTACTTTGTTAATTAATAACAGAAAACGCACATTACGTGTTAAACAGGTGACAAACAATTGATCAACCGCAAAACATGGCAAAATTCTTTTTGGATAGTGCTTATGATAATTGACATCACAATTCAATCTTTGTACCAATAAAAAAGTTTTTTAATGGGATTGACAAGTTTGATAAAAATAATTGAAATTATATGTCTGCTTTAAGTATAAAGTGACAAGCTATGACAGTAATGTTGGAAAGCAAAAATTCCGACCGTGTAACGGACTGTGAGTTTAACTCTTCCAAAAATTGGTGAATGTGTACTTTGGTTTTCAAAAGAAGACATCTAAGGCGTGGTTGCACGCAAGTGTCTGCCGTGGAGGAGACATAACGCTCGCTGTGTCTTTCGTGCGACGTTGTCAAATTCTGAAGAATAGTGAGTATCTCTTTATATTTTTAAGCGTAACAGCGTCTCCCTAATTTGCTCGACAAAACAAATTCACAAACAGTAGACGATTCTGGTACGCGATCTAGTTAGTATGGAAACGACGTAGATGATTCTTCTTGAAAAACTTAGCGATATACAGTGCCGGAAAGAAGTACAACAACTTGAGCGTAATAGACTAAATAATCGATGAGTGTTCGAAGGCTCCACGGCACTGAACATGAAATATTTCATAAACTAATTACCACATACAGCCGAAACAAATTTAATTGGCTTCGGAATTCTATTGTGCTAAACCTCATTAGAAATTCAATTCCGAGGAGCCTTCGAACACTCATCGATGATTTACTATAATTCTTTGAAGATTAATTTCTGTAGTATTTTCTGTATTAATTAACGAAGAGTATAGATTTCCTTAATCGTTATTTTTTTTAAATATTAATGATTTTAATAAAACCTATTTCCACTTCGTTAATCAATATAGAAAATGCTAAAGAAATTCAGCTCCAAAGAATTACTATAGTCTAATTGTAATTGTTTTCGGTATTGTATGTGCGTTAAAGGCAGATAATAGATACGTAGCGGCACACATACAGAGAGTAAAAAAATATTGGACAAAATGCACGGAGTGGGATAAACACAAACGTCATAGACGTGTCGCGAACGCAGCAAGACAGCAAACTAGCGACTGCCCACCTGAGGTCTTTTCTTTCCAAAAAACAAAGTATAATTCAATAATGTAAACAAAATGGCAGCCGCATGCTATCTATTATAGTAATTACCTTGACAGCTTCCTTGTCCAGAATGAACACAGATCGGAGCTGACCGTTCATTTCGAAGAACACTTCCCGTTCTCCATTCGGTGTTAGATCCTCCGCAACGGCCAGAGTCTTGAAAGCTAATGTTTTACCCTTCTCGATGGTAACATCGAACTCCTCTCCGACCTTCGGTCCCGTTAAGAAAATCCTCGTTTCCAGCTTATCTACTGGTCCATAATTTTCTCTAAATGTTAAGAAATCATTTGTAACTTCGGGATACAGCGCCACCGACATGACGTCCTTGTTCGAGATGTGGGGATGAGATTCTTGCAGTTTAGTCTTGAGAGCAGCGAAGTCTAACGGAGGCAAGCTTGCTCCGGGCCTTCCCTCTATTCGCGGCATGTCTTTCAAGACTTTTGACCTGCAAAGGAAAATTATTTTAAGGTGGATCGACATACAGGGTGTTATTAAAAATGTGGGACACTTTTTGACACCACATGGATTCTACATGTAAAACTAACAATAAACCAAAAATAAAAAATGGTGAAAGTACTTTGTTTCCAAAATATTAATTGTTAAATATACGGGCGAAATATATATAAATACCTAACCCATTTACATTTTTAATTATTTTCAACTATTTTAATCAATATTAATACTTGTAAAAAAAATACTGTGTGTTTATATTCTATCGTGCTCTTCTCTTTCTCTATTTGCTGAAAGTACTTCGTATACCAGCAACAATGCAGAAAACATGATACAATAGCCTCAGACTATGAATTTATGCAAAAGGAAACATGATCTTTTTTGACCGGTAAGTTGGAAAAGAACATGTGCGTTAAGGGATTAATAAAGTTATACTATTTTGTTACTTGACAGAGTTTCTAGTCCCATTTCCCCGCAATTATATGTCTTATTAGAGTACCTAAGAGGCTCAGGGAATCCTCCATACGGTACACCAATAGCGCCCTGCAGGAACTCGACTACCGATTTGGGGAAGGACAGCTCCTCGGCCTTGTTCAGGACATCCTCGGAAGAGAGCTTATTTTGGACCATAAATTGAGCGAGATCGCCGACAACTTTTGAACTTGGTGTGACTTTGATGATATCACCGAGCAACAGATTGGCTTCTCTGTAAGCTTTCTTGACATCTTCGAAGAATTCCCCCAGTCCAAGGGAATAGGCTTGGAACTGAAGGTTCGTGTACTGGCCTCCAGGAATTTCGTTCAAATATACGTCTGCGTTACCGGACTTCATTGTCGTTGTGCACTCGAACGGAGCATACAGTGTTCTAGTTTGCTCCCAATAAGCAGAATACTCTGACACGTCGCGGAGATCAAATTTGGTATCGTTTGGCGTCCCTGAAATTTGCACGAATATAGAAGGTTTGATTAAAATTAATGTGAAAGTATTATATTTGGAACGAGTGCATTAAATTTTTAGAAACGTTGCTTGAATATTGAAATTACATGATTTGACCTCTTAATATCTTAATAAATTGTAGTCTTAAAAGACTATAATATGGTCTGGAATATGACCATAAGTTACTTATCTAGAATATCAGAATTTATTTAAATAGAAAATTAAAATGTAGAAGACGTATGTATTAATTTCTTCTCAACATGAGGCAATTAATTAGGATCATACAAATAATCAGTACATATAATAGGTAAACCAAGTTAGAAAAAATCTTATGTACGAAGTTAGTGAATATTCTTAGCTATCTACACATAAATCGTATGTATTGCTTCACAGTTCACATACCATTACAGAATAGAATATATTCTAACAAAACAATGCACAATGCAGTTATATAAATTTACTGGATTCAAAATTAAAATTGGAAACGTTCTTCTATAGATTGGTGTGATTTCTCTGATGAAGATAGGATCAAATGTGACAATGTTCTGATAGTTTTAAATTACATTTACAATGTGTATTATTATGCCACTACAATTTTTACTATAAGAAACGATAAAATACTTTTAAAAAATTATTTTGGTGCAAAAAATTGGAGTCTACGTGTAATGATAGAAAGCAACAAAAATACACAAAGTGCAGAACAAACGATATTTACTGTAAATCTCCACACTGATTACGTAAAATATTTTTCCCAATTTTTCCATGAATATTACAATCACATTGCAAACATTCTCTAGACATTTTTTTTCTCTACAAGATCGTAAAAACTGCGTTAGCCGAAGAATCCGTGTTGACTATACAAGCATGGATGTAAAACTGAGGTTAAATACATTTTTCGAACTTCCAGTTAGGAGTATAAGATGAGAAGAAACTATCATGATTGCAATGCTGCAAACACGTGCCTCAGATTCGGAAATAAGATAGACCCAAGGTGTATGGGCCTTTAGTGTCCAGCCGTCCACTGACGAAGGGCCAATCGGTAAGTAGACAGTAGACTTTCGAACCTCCCCAATTTTTGGAGCAATGGATATTTCACGTATCGACAGGTGACTTACCGTCTCAAGAATGCTACGGGAATAGCACGCAGGAACCGATGATCCCGTGGTTATCCCGAACTACCCGACCAGTGTCAAGAAAGGCGAGATAACTAGACTTGAAGCGTGAAGTAAACTCATGCAGTAGGAAAATGGGTAAAACTATACGACGGGATTCTGAATATAAGGATGCACGCGTTAACTCAGCCCCTAGTGTCACCAAGCCCCGGAATATGGGATATTTGTATCACACATTCCTGACCAGCCGTTGAGCTTGGACTGTCGTGGTAACAATGATAGCCCCAAAATCGCAGAGTAGGGTGTTTACATTTGCCACGGGAATCGCGGTTTTAGCTCTCGAACCGTCCAGCAGAACGGGTAGAGCATTAGAAAGAGCTTGTATCCATTAATGTGGATACGCAGGGGCTCGCAACCTGGTATCACTACTAATAGCAAGGAGCTGGGTGTACAGCGTCGAGAGGATATTGCGAAGTCGTAAAACCATTAAGGTGCAAAGATACCCCTGTTTCGGTAGCCGAACCCGTAATTTAAGACGCTTGAGCTTCTTCAGGATTGTGCAATGTCAATTCGAAATGAATTACCTGCAGTTTAATTTTTACGGATACTTATTATTCAGTAGGAGGCGACAGAGGTTAAATACCATGAAATTTGAAGAAACATTGTAAGCAGAAGTTTTAAATATCCATTCACAAATGACGTTTACAGTCTAAGATTCAGGCCACATTACACAACACACTAGGTATGTTAGGGTCCGTTATGACACTGGTACCCATATGGACAGGAGGCGCGTACTGCCTTCGCGTGGGTGCATAAATAGGCGACCCCACTAAACGCTTAATTTTACGAAGTTACGATATCCTGTCCATCGATTGTACTTGCGTGCTAATTAGGCGTATCCCAATACCTTGCCCATGTGGGCTGTGTGGATAAGCTTTCGACGGAGAAACTACGCGTTAAATCATCACAACTGTTCCGTCGTAGACCCGTAACGACGGCTTTAGAATCTGACATTACCGTTATCTTTTATTATTTTATTTCCTTCGTTCAAGCAATTTTACTTTCGTTGACACAAAGAGAGTGATAGACAAAAGAAACGAACATTCTCGCAGACAATACAGCTATAAACCCTACTGTTGAGAGATTCGAAACTTCGTCGCGGTCAACTCGCACCGTGACCATGTGCGCGATATTTTACTGACGTCTGCTTTGCCCTGAAGGAGAGGTTTTCCACCTCCACGTCACTTGAAAAAATCGAGAAATTTGCCTTCCCCTTCAGGGCATAACCAATAAGGAAGCGAGGTTTGGTAAACGCCTTCAGCGAATTTGGAGGAAGCGACGACACACGAAAATCAGACTCAAACCAGAACTCACCCGGTAAACATCACACGCACATAGACACGCACACAAACACACAACTTGTAAATACAGTCATTACGAAACAATCTAAGTGTGCTTTATTTTCGGTTTTGAAATTCTAAAGATCGTGTAACGGTTCGGCAATTAAGTGCGAACATTGCACGACCTAACAACAACGTACAGAAGATAACTTACCAATAAGAGCCGCAACTATGGCACCCATGGAGGGTTGACTGGTCATGCCAGACATACTGTCAACAGCGACGTCAACAACATCCGCTCCACTTTCCGCGCAGGCCAACATGGACGCCACTCCAGCCCCTGCTGTGTCGTGCGTATGAATATGCAATGGTACATCGGGATGTTTCTGTCTGATCGCGTCGATCAGCATTCTAGCGGCGTTCGGTTTCAATAAGCCTGCCATATCCTTGATCGCCAGGACATGAGTACCGACCTTTATTAACTCATCCGCCAAATTCGTGTAGTACTTCAGGTCGTATTTCGTCTTTCTTGGATCACTCACATCTCCCGTGTACGAAATCGCAGCCTCGACAATACCGCCCGCTTTGCCAGCTGCTTCCATGCCTAAAGAATTTAACTTTTAGTTTGTCTTATGTCACTTGACTTTTGCTAATTGAGAACTATTCTACATTGCAGTTGTATTTTGCGGTAAAAAAACGTTATGTGCTAGAGCAAACCCCAAATTTATGATAAGAAGACAGTTTCCTGGTGCTTCGGATTACTGGTGACTTCACAGAAGAGACAGAGGCCGCCCCATAAACAAATTCATTAAGAAATGAGGAATGAGTAACTTCAGTGACGTTTAGCGTAAAACGCCCATAACAGCTTTTCGCAATCAAAGGATTCTATTAGAGCAGGGTAAGATTCTTTATAGAGGCTCCAAAATATTGTACAAGGAATTATAAATATGGTACAGTAATGTTGGTGGAATTTAAACTATGGACTGTATGAAGACTACATCTGTGTTCTGTCAAAGTTCAGCTAAACCAGAATTGTTCTAGTGTTAAGCTAATTCTGCATTGATCTAAAAATGAAAAGATTCTGGACCGATTACACTGTTCAACACATATTTGGACCACTGATATTCAACAGGCAGTTCCGATAATTTAAAAAGGTATTTTAAAAAGAAATGCAAATTTTCAAACTTGAAGATGTTTTGTGTTCGAACAAGAATAGTTATTCGATTTCTTTCAACACTAAATTATTCTATGAACTCTCCTAAACAAAATGATATAAATTATTATTAAAAATATATGTTTAAGCAACGATCAAAATGAAAATGACGTCTAAAACGCGAATTTTTGCGGATATTTTTCAATTTATTTTGAAAACTAAAACTGTAGAAGAGAATCTAATTATATGATGCGACAGAGCAAACATTTTACCTAAGGAAAGCATCAAACAAAGTTGTTGGTGTGGTTTTGTTTTCAATATAGCAACGAAATAGTTTAGCGAAACGCATAAAGCCGGCAGTGGTAGGTCATCGCTGGTCGCCTTCCTTTTCGCTCAGCGTAACAGAACCGACAAACGTACGCGACTCGGTCAACTTTTGCACCAATATTGTATTCACTATTTATAAATTATTAGTTAAACTATTTTTATTTATAGAAATGAACTATAGTTGAACTAGGGCTGAACTAACTCTAATGCTGAACTGAGGCAACATTAACTCTGTAATGGTTCTATGTGTCAAGACACAGGTCCATCCTCTTTATTGTGCTTATCATCGCCAGCATTTTTCCAGAACAATTGCCGAATCTGTTCAATGTCATCATAACCTGGTAAAGCCTTTGATTGTTTATAGGATGGTCCTTGCGTCTTCTTTGGAATCACCAGTGCCTAAAGACGCAGGAAACCATCTCTCTGTCAGAAATTTGAGATTTGTTGTAACATGTTAATATGCTTACAATAATAAGAAAACAAATGCAAGCTACCCAAACGATCCAATCTAGAAGCAAGGTTCATTCCTGCGACCTAGAACATTTGGCTTACTTACCAATAATCAAATTTGGCAGATAGTTCAACGAGTCGAACACTCTGAACACGTCCATTCCCGTCTGCACAGCCAGCTCACAGAACTTGAAGACAACGTTATCCGGGTAATTAGTGTAACCGACAGCGTTGGCACCTCTGAGAAGCATTTGGAACGGGATGTTCGGTATGGCTTTCCTCATGTCTTCCAATCGTTCCCATGGACACTCGTGAAGGAACCTAAGGGCGACGTCAAAAGTAGCGCCACCCCAATTTTCCAGGGAATAAAGAGAGTTGAATTGTTGTGCGACGAAGGGCGATATCAGTAGAAGATCGTGCGATCTCACGCGAGTGGCCAGAAGGGACTGATGAGCATCACGGAACGTGGTGTCCATCAGCAGCAACCCCTTATGCTGTCTGATGGCTTTGGCGAATGCTTCCGGACCTTCCTTTTTGAAGATGTCACGGAAACCTTTTGGTGGTTGGAAGGGCTCTGAAAAATTAGTTCAAATATGTTCATGGTGTGAGGCTTCGGAAAATTCGGGTAAGCTTCCACGTGCAGTTGTTAGTCAGGTCGCACATGTAGCGGCTTTATGCGCTGCGGATACATTAATACGTTCACCGTCGAGCCCATTTTGACTGAATTTCTGTTCATGCTGATTATAATTGATATTTGAATTTGTATTACATTACGGTCACCGGTGATCGACGCGGTGTGAACGGAAAGTTCTGTGTCGGTCACCGGTGACCGACGTGGCCGTGAATGTTTTAAAGAGGAGAAGCATCGTGAAGGTACCTGCCTCAGGAAACTTTTCTCACATTGCTTGAAAAAAGTTAACAATAAACATCTACGGTTGGAACGCTAGGAATTATAATTAAAAATCCGTAGATGTCATTTTATATTATTCCATTGGAAAGGTTTAGTACGTTTAATCAAGTTTACTTTATGTAGCTGCATTATTGTAAAAGTTCTCGGAATGAAATGTTCATAGATGATATTAGTAGTTCTGAAATTTTTAGTTCATCCAACACATCCATTTTTACACCGTTAACCGTAACGATTAAGTCAGTATTCTAAACAATATTTGGGATAAAGTGTCTCTCCATTCCACTTTAGAAACTTTTTAAATAAGCCACGTGTTTTTGTGAGCTTGTGGAACGTGTTGAACTGTGCAATTGTTGGAACTTTAGAATAAGAAACGTATACATATATTATAAAATTATTATAGTTAGCGGAGTATGGCTCAAGTACAAATATACCATAGTTAAGATTGTCTCTACTAATGTATTGTTAATTAACTACAATACAAGTATGTTACTGACTCGTTGAAATAATACAATATTATTGAGGGGGTTGGTTAATGTTCGAAAATGCATTGACAAAATTTTCAACATTTAATAAACATAATGATCTTTTGTTTGTGAGAACATGCTGCTTAATCTAGGTCGTAACTAACGCGTATCGTTGTTCTTATGTCTGTTTATGTAATTTTATAATTGCAATTTTCCCGAAATATATTCTGGTATCATTAACAACGGTTTTGGCGATGTTGATATATAACAAAATGATTAAAATAAGTCACCATCATTTTGTGACAATTATATACAATATTCAATATGTTTTCTACTCTTCAATTCTTCTTAATTTATTAGTCATTGGTCAGTTGGTAAATCTAGCCAAGCAGCATAATAATAATTAATTTCCTTAATTTTTCATTTATCTTCTGTATTATTCAATATTTTCTTCAATTTTTCAAATAATACAATAAATATGCTGTTTCTTTTGTCACGTTTACAATGAATTTACTACAGATCTAGTATTGATTAATTGATTAAGACATGATACACTCCCAAAACAATGACAACATTTGTTTCATATTATTCTATTGGTTAGATTTTCATTTAAAGCCTGACTTTAAAGTACTTAACGAAATTCTATTATTACTAATTGTAAGTCTCATATTGACCAATTTTATTATACTTATTTAAATAATAGTAATTGAACAGTGACTGTATAAAATGGAAAATCTTTAATTACTATCTATAAACTTTAACAGAACGATAATAGGACTAAATAAGTGTTCACGTTGGAACGGTCGAATCAGAATTACATTCCACAAATGGAATGAGAAAACAGTGTTTTGTACAGATCACAGACACATTATCTCTTTCAAGCAGATAGCAAATATCTGTGGAACAGATGTTTAATAATTTTCTTTTATCAAAAGGCCACGGTGACCTTTTACATTTTTAAAATGGAACGTAACATTTATGATTGTACGGTCGCACAATCGATGAAATCACGATTGGAATTATTTATAACGTTATAACTAGATTTCCATAGTTTCCTTAATGAAACAGAAATTTACTTCTTCTATGAAACAGTGAATTAAGTTCCAAATAAACCAGAAATCTGCTTCAAATCGTACGACACGTATTTGGCATAAGGAAGTATGATGAGTTTAACCTGCCATAGGTACACAAGCGGTTAACCCTCGACTGGCCGATGCCAGGTCACATCTGACCAGTCTTCGTATTTTCATGTAATAATAGTATACAGGGTGTCCCAAAAATGTCCTCCGACCCGGAAATGGGACACTCGGGACGGGGGGGGGGGGGGGGGGGGGA